GATTCACGATACTTGTAATAACGAAGTTTTTAGTTTTCTTTTTTTCTTTTCNTTTTTTTTTTTTCTTCCAATCCAACTATCTTTTTCCGCGTGAACCATAGCGGACTATCGTCGAATTAATTCGTCTCGCGCGTTCCGCTCGAACGACCTGATTAACCGATCATCAAGGGTGTCTAATCGCCAATGGTCGCGTTCCACGTCCACGTCGCGAATTCGATTCAAATCGAGCCAGTTACCAGGCTGGAATAGAACCGTGAAGATGTAACGATACGTCCACTTCACGCTTGTTCCTTGGAATGACGGAAGCTTTGATGGATCGCGAATGAGAAAGATCGTGGTGGCGGCGGAAGTGGTTCGCGTCAGTCGGACAGGCAGCCAGGTCAACGCATTTTTGCATCGTTCTTCTTGCGAGGATCGATGGAATTGGGAAAGGAACCGGCTTTCTCTGCTTCGATTAATCGGCTAACGAAAGTCGATCGAGTGTGAGAAAGTTTGACTTGCCTTTTGTATCGGGACGAATGATAAAATTCTAATAATAATTTTCCTTAATTTGAAATTAATCCTGCAATATATAATTTAATTAATAAGAGAAAAAAATTTTTTAAAAATATTCTAATCTTAAAATTCTTCGAATTTTCTTGGATTAGCATATTACGATGAACAATTAATGATCAAATTTTCACTACTTTTATTTATATATCTACGAGAGAAGCGCGTCTCAAATTACCATTTACCAAATCGTTCGAAGCCTATCCAAGCTATACATAAAAGATGCAAAATCTATTTTAAAAACTCTCGAGGTTACAAACAACCCTTAAAAAATTTCTTACAACACGCCCAAACAAATTCAATCTCAATCTTCAATAGCGGTTCCAAAAAATTTTCCCCTCGAACAAACTTGCTCCTCGGTGCGAAGATTCAGAAAAAGCGTGGATAGGGCGCAAAGGGTTGACGGGGGTAACGCTAACGAAACGAGGCAGAGACGGAGATTCAGAGTGTGCTTCGAAACAGCAGAGCACAATAATAAGCGTTGGTGGACGGGAGAGCAACGGCACGACAATTCGTAGTAGCACTGTTATCCCTGGATTCAGGGGGAGGATTGTCCACGGTATCCTCGTCCAGGGTATTCCTCGTATAGTTGCGGTCACCAGGCGTGACGATACGAGCTTGTGTGTGCGTGCGTGTGTACGCAGAGCGCGATCATGGTGCTTTTGCACCCCCGTGCCACCACCGGCATGATCCAGGGGATGACTATCATCCCCCTGACTACCGGCCGCGCCACGGGGATGCGACCATAAACGCGAGAGCGAATTGATTTGCGACCGGAAAACGCGTATCGTTTCTAGTAATGATCGTGGATCCCTTCATTGTCTTCCT